CCTCGGGTGTCTGTGTTGTTGCTGTTCATTGGGCTGTTCCCTGTTGTGGCCGACCCTCGCGCTCTCCAAGAGAACCAAAAACTCGTTGGAAAAGGTATTCATCCATTGCTTCCCCTTATGTCTTATCAATTGCTTTAAAGGGCTTATCACTTGAGATAACATTGTGTAACCATTCTTACCATTCATATGCTTTGATTCATTGATTTACATGTGATATCTGTCACACATGTCACCACTCATACCTTGCCATTCCTACCACTCATACCCTACCACTCATACCCTGCCATTCCTACCACGAGTTCCCATTCCCAGACCCTAACTAATGGCTATTAGCTATACATCGAAAGTGGTTTAATCTTATGATTAAAAGACTATCACTTATTTGTTTAGCTGTTGTCTCACGAGAATTACAAACTTTACCACAAATTGGGTCTTAATTGGCGTTTAGCTAAACAAAGATGTCATACAAACCACTCATTCATGGAGTACGTGCTGGTCATCGAGTTCTTACCGAAACTGCAATTATATCAACCGGACTGACAGTCAGACCTCAGAGGAAAGTAGTGGTGAATCTCATGGCAGCACAACTCCTGACAACACAGACATCGATGACGACCGAAATATAATTAATATATATTTAGTAGAAAGTTATTGAATTATATTTATTTTGTGACAACATTTGTCAAATCATTCGCTAAACACATTTCAATCATCACTGAAACCAAATAATGAATTCATTTTTCATCTTTTTATCTCTTTATCTAAACCAATGAATAAAACATTTTTCTGTATATATTATATTCATATTTAATTCTATAATAAATTCTTAAATTTCACCAACCAATCAATACTCAATCAATATGATTATTGCTCACATTTCATTGCTTATGGTTTTGAGCATTTAAATCAATGTTGGCATCTACTGTATGACATTAATTGTTGATTATGTTTACTCAATTTCTACAATATTAATAAGTGATTACAATATTGGAGCAATTATTGCAAACATTTCAAAGCAATTCTTTAAATAATTAAATTGAATAATAAGTAAGTTTATATGAAGTTCTGTTTTAAGTTAACTTCATAATTGATATTATAAGTACCTTTATAAAGTATCTACCATAATTTATAAAATGTATTTAAAATTCTTTGCCTAACTATGCCTGCTCATTTTAGATTCTTGCTACTTTGTAATTTGTATAGTACAGAATATCACTGGTCACTGTCACGAATATAGCAATTGACATGTAATAATACAGTAAAATATACCTGTTTTGTAAATATTTATGTGGGAAACTATCCAGTCAATTCATTTCCTTAATTACCTAAAAACCCAAATTGCAAGTATCAAATATACTCCAACTTAATTGCATAATATTGTACTGTATATGTTTGATATAACTTATTTGTGTTAGGAATACAATACTGTACTGTAGTGTCAAACCAGTAAATTGCAACAATAGACTATACAGTACTATATTTGAATAGTACTCTTGACTACATTATTGTACTGTATGTTTGATATAACTTATTTGTGTTAGGAATACAATACTGTACTGTAGTGTCAAACCAGTAAATTGCAACAATAGACTATACAGTACTATATTTGAATAGTACTCTTGACTACAGTGACCCTATTTAACATTGAGGTGAGTTAAGACATGGTTGGATACCATTCACCAGTTGGACAGTATACTGTGTGGCAGTATTGTAATCACTTTCTATCGTGTTTTACGAGACCATTACAACACCGGTAGTCTAGTGTGCATCACAGTGTTGGGCAGAGACTACTGAGAGACTGTATGTCTGTGCTTCGCAACACCTACACGTGTCTCACATACAGAGTCTGTATTACAGACTCGAGACTCGACCGCCAAAACAGATGTCATTTGCAAACATAGACTCAACACAACAGACATACAGTCATATCGTCTATGCTTTCATTGTATCAATCAAATGGTAATCAACTGTTTGCTCAATATTTGTGTCAAACCATTGAAGCCCTATATTAGCCATCATTTAGTCATTGATACCAAACTCTATTCATATCTCACATGAATTTGATTGTCGAAGAAGTGGTCAAACATTTGGTTGACATCACTGTCGACAGTGTGGACTCAATTGCATGTGTTTCCACTCATGAGGACGATATTGAGAACAAGTCAAACAATTGCTTAAAACGAGGCATACATTCAGATGATCACCACATGAATCCTAAGAAACGGATCAAATACAGTGACACTTCCGACAAATGCATTGATATATTAGCAGTCAATTCAAGTGATTCTCAATTGAATCCCATTTTAGAGGATTCAAAGTCATGTGAAGGACTCAATGATGTGATGACATGTGATAACCAATTGGTTGTGAAGAACCAAAAGCATGAAAACTGTGTAAAAGAGTGTCACAACTCCTCCAGAAAGACACCAAAACAAGTGAAATGGAGGACAAACATAGTTAACCCACATTTCAGTGAAGACTCGCTGAATGTGTTGCTGTCGAAGACATACTACTTCTTCGGCA